CAGGGTAGTTAAAATCCCCCATTACTTTTGTGGTGTGCTTCCTACATACCTTAGTTAGCTGACTAGCAAAAAGTTCGTCTACTACTTCCTCTGCTTGGTTGGGTGGCCTGTAATATAGACCTGTGGCAATGTCATTCCCCCCCCCCACTTTAATATTGACCCTAATGCATTCGTTATAGTTCTCATCTTAGTTTTGCTCTATTTCTGTATAGATGTAGTTATTTCTTATATATAGTGCACTGCAACTCCACCTCCTCTATGTGCCTTAATCAAGTTCAGTTATTATTCGGTTCAAAATACTTTTTATTTGCTTGTTCGTTCGTTTGTTTTTCGGACCAAGAAGACGCTCCGTCCGAATTCCTTCAATTCACTAGAAGAATGGGTATCGTAAAGTCAAAAGCTCTACATCAGAGCCTCTCCCCAGCGTCCGAGCCTATCCCGACTCTTTCCCTTTCCCTCTTCCTCCATCTCCTGTAAGCAGACTTTGTTTTTTGCTTTCACTTCTGATTCAGTGTGACTGTGAAAGCAGTTTGCGTCGCTGCCCCACACCTCGTTTCCTCTTCCCGCCTCTCGCGGCGCAGATCCCGAAGATACGGAACTTAGCCGAATCCTCGCTTCGAAGAAGAACTGGGACTTAGGACCTTACCGAGTGGATTACAAACGATCGGTTTTCACGAAAAGCGAAGCTTTTACGAACCAACCGAGGGAAAGGACCTCTCTGGCGTAAAAGGTACGGAAGGGGTGGGAACAATATTAACAACGGAGGGAGGGTAAGAGCCGATGAGTAGAGGTAATCGGCGAAATATCCAAGAAATTCCGGAGTTAAGCAATAGGGTGAAAAACGACAACAGATCCGGACTGCTGTACAAATTACTATTATTATTATTATTTTAATAAAATCGGTTTATATGTATGTGGGGGGTGGGGGTGTCCAGCTAACAGAGTAATGGAAATTCGTGAAAACGCAAACGACGTGAGAACACCCAGAGGGGGTTAAATCCCGCGTGGGACCTAGTCCCGTTACCCCTTGGATTATACCCTGAACCCAAGACAGTTGAATTCATAATATATACTTGTTATGGATTCGAATCCTAGCCTGTGTGACCATGCAGTTAAAGTGATAGGCGCTCGCACACACCCCGATCTAAGTGACGGATTTCGGAAGAGTTTACCGGTTTGTGGCTTTGGCTGATTTCACTTTAATACCCATACTTACTCATAAATAATCCCTCGAATTCTGTAATTATGATTCGTGCATACCATTTGCATTGTGCGTAATATGTTGTTCTTGGCATCTGCATCATTAGGAGTGTGAAAGTTCATTTCTGTGCACAATTGTTTTGGTTTTACAGAAATGACAAGTGTGAAGGCCAGTACAAATTAATCCAAAAATCTAGTTGCAATATATGTGGGGTCCTTCTTGGCTAGCTGCCACCCGCAGGCAGGACAAAAGCATTATTTGTAAGAGGGATGTTTCCTCAATGCATTCCTACAATTTGTTCAGAAGAAGCATGAATTCTCTCTGGGGTATACCTAATTTACATTAAGAAATTTTGATTAAAAATAGGTTTTTGTATATACTTTCTCAGTTTGACAGGGCAGCAGCAAGGTAAAGTGAGATAATGATTAATTCTGTGAATCCTATGTCAGATAGACCATGAAGATTCGTGGAAAAAATAGGGTTTTAATTAAAAATGGGTGATAAAGATGACTTTTTTTCACTATAACATTAGAGTGGTAGATTATTTGCATTGGCAAAGATTGAGCTATGTCAATCTCTCTGTGTTGTGTCTTCCGTATTAGAGTACAACTCTCAGAATTTTGAACTAGAATTTATGTATATGACTTTGAATTCTTTACAATTTCACATAAGACACTTCTAATATAATATGAGAAATAGAAAAATATTACTTCTTACTTCGTAAAGTGTCTTTATTTTATTGTGTCCTTTGATTCTCCCCTTTTGTTCTTTTAATACAAATTATTGGGAAAATATGGTAATGGCTGTGAATTTAGTTACAAAAAAAAAATCAGTTTTAGTGTAAGTATTTATATTGTTTTAATGTGTATTTAATTCATTTGGAAATAGCTTATGGTATAAGTATCACAATATATATTATTGAATATACCATGACTGAAAATGATACATTAATAAAACCGATCTTAGAAAAATGTTCTTGTTGCTTTTCACAGCCTTTTCCTTTCCTATAGCAAATATGTCAAAGTGACATTTTTAAACATTTTTATTACAAAAATGTATATGCTGTGGCATGTAATTAGGTTCCATCAAATTGCCTTCTTGTATCACATTTAAACAAATTATTAAAGTAAATTATGAATCAAAATTGTCTAATTGAAATGAGAAGTTTATGGGCATTGACAATGCCCATAATGAAATGTCTCCAAGCAAGCAACCTAGCTCAGATCGCACCAAGGATTCTACAGTTATTGGTCATTTTCCACCAAGATCTGTATCGAATTTAGCATTCTTTTCTGGGGGAAAAAAGTTATACAATTTGGTGAGAACGGTGAAATTGGCTGTGTCTAAATTCAGAATATTTTTCCCAATTAAATATGATATTCCATATGGTCATAATACTTAATATATGTTTTAGCAGTTGAACTGTCATTTATTTATGGAGTAGTAAATTATGGAGTAGTAAAAATAATTGAATTCATTTTTGAGAAAGCAGAAATAAAATTACTTCAGTAGATCCTCGCGATTCCTGCACAGAACTGTTTTAATGTTGGTTGAGCTACAATTTTGTTAATGGTGGTTTCTCAAATGAAGTTGGTTGAGTTACACCTAGCACTAAAACATAAGCCACAGTTTACCAGTCACGGTAGATATATTATCATATTACAGTAATCACATAAGTAAATCACATTATGATGTGAGAATTCAACTAGAAAGTCAAGATATTTTGGCAGATAATTTACACTGATTCCTCAACTTACAGTTTTAATTTTAGTTTATATATTGATCATATTTGTATAGCCATCACTCTCACATAATGATTCTGGGTGGTGAACATAATAAAAGCAGTCCAAATACATAAAGATGTATTTATTTAACAGCTTTAAATTAAAATAAAAACAAGACCAAATAAAATGCTGAAAAAGCCTATAAGCGAGTGCATTCAATTAACTATCATACAGCCATCTAGCAAGTTCTTCTCTGCCAAGGGATCCCCAAATCAGGTGACATAATCATGTTCTGAAAGGCCAATAGGGTCAGGGCCAGTGTCATCTTCATAATAATATTTCACAGGACAGAGGCCATGGTAGAAAAGGCTCTTTTGTCCCAGGTTCCACATGATAAAATTCCCTGGCTGATGGGACTTTCAACATGCTGTCCTGCCAGACATAATGTAACTGTGGAGGAGCAGTCCATCCAATAACCTGGTCCCATGCCATATATGGCTTTAATTGGACCCCAAAGCAAATTGGCAGTTGACTTAGCTTGCAAAGCAGAGGTGTAACATGTTCAATCCTTGGAGCACACATAACTGCCCACATGTCTGCATTTTGCACTAGTTGAATCTTTCCCAGTCGTAAGGATTTATGATTCAAATAAATAGATAATAAAGTTATTCTCCAATAAGAGGTTTCTGGACACGGTTTCTTTGTACAACTTATTATATGTCATTTATCATTCCTAAATTTTCTGGAGATTATAGTTTCAGAAAGTTGTTGGTTTTCTTAGTAACAAGATTATTTATTTTTGCACCATGCACATCTAGTTCTGTCAGCAAAACCATCAATGCATGAGATAAACTATTCAGTGCCAAATATGCTGGAGCATCTCTAGGTCACCAGACAGCCTCTATCTGAAGTTCTTTAGCAAAGGGGAATTCACCAAGTCTTAGGGAATTCCGTGCCCTTGATATGTATAGTGTTTCTTAATGTCTAATCTGAACCTCTTCCTTTGTAATTCTGGTCATGTCACCCGAGACAATTGAGAATGAGTTCATTACCTGCTCTGAGTGGCAGTCCTGATATTTGAAAACTGCTATTGTATCTTGCCTTGGTTGTCTTTCCTACAAGTTAAACACACCAGATCCTTTAATCTTTCCTCACTAGGCTTTGTTTCCATAGTGCCTGTCCTCGTCTCCCACCTTTGATAGCATTTTTCTGAATTTGCTTTAGTATGTTAATGTCCTTCTTGAATGCTGATGCTGAACAGAGTATCTTAGGACAATTGCTTCCCATGTTATGGATTCTAACTCCTGTTAGTGTATCCCTAATAATATTTGCTCTTTTAATAGCTCCCATATACTGATGGCTAATATTTCGTTGTGATCAATAATGTCATCCAGTTTCCTTTTACATGTACTATTTCCTGGTCTAGGCCTCAGCTCAGTACTCCTTGGAAGCCTCTTTCAAAGTGCTAATTGGATACTTAATTAACTTCTATGCCAGACAAAAATCAACTATGTGCAGATGGCAATCTGCATTGTTGATTCTTTTCTCCGACATTAATTTATTGCCAAAGGAAACATAAGATCAGAACTTTTTTTGTGATTTGTAAATAGAGGGTTGGTTTGTCACAGATCCACCACTTCCTTCAGCTCTAAAAACGAAACACATGCAAGAAATAAGAATGGAAATCTAAGACATGTTGGCTTATTCAATTAATTGGGACGTGAAAAGCATAGAGATCATTGGTAGAGCCATGATATTCAGTAAGACTACAAAAAGGAGAAGGAAGGGGAGAGAAAAGAAAACTTCGTTTGGTGTCCTTAGATCAAAAATAGTTGTTCTGTATGTATCTGTGCATGTTTAATTTTAGCGTCCTGTGGTTTCATGACAATTATTTTGAAGAGATGAAAATGGGTTGTTATAGAAGAATCCTTCTGCATTCAGTATTGACAAGGAGGAGTAGGATCATGCTCATGAGGAATCCTGTATATGTGCCGCCCACAATCAATATTTTCTTTTACAAATACAAGTCCAGGAAAAAGCATAGCTACCATGCATATTAGACTGGTAGTACAGTGGAGCAATTCTTCCGGTGTTTGGTGCATACTGGGTGGGAAAGTTACCTGTGCATGTAGACTTTGTTTCCTGTTGAACTCAAAGATAACAGATGCTAGGGCTATGCTTTAATAGAGAATAAGCTTCCTTGCAATAAGCTTCTAGCTATTGCTGAAATACTCTACATGGCAGCTCTGTACAATGGTAAAGAACAAAATGTCTTGGACCAGTTCTGGATCTTTTTGCTCTTTCACTTCCAATCAAAGAATGACAGTAGAATAAAAATGGATCTTTTTTTTGATATGTGCCAGGAAGCCATGACAACTTTCTGTGGATATAGTTGCAGATATTTATAAAACTTAATCTATATTATAATGTCCTCAAAAAGTTAATTTCAGGATGCTAGAATACAATATGCTCTTTATATGAAGAGGACATAGAATCGTAGGACCTCAGAGGTCTTCTAGTCTAACTCCCTGCTCAAGGCAGGGGACCTTATACCATCCTGGCGAAATGGTTGTCCAGCCTATTTTTGAAAAACTCCAATAATCAAGCACCCACAACTCTAGGAGGCAAGCTATTCCATAGATTAATTGTTCAGTCAGAAAATTTCTCCTTCTCGGTTCTTCTTACTACTTGGTTTGGCATGTTGTAACCAGAGTTATGCAGTCATTATCATGTTAGTCACAGTGCTGGGATTCAATTTTTTTTACTACCGGTTCTGTGTGTGTGGCTTTGTGGGTGTGGCAGGGA